AAAATGAACCTAAGTTTACAATCCATAATTTATAGTATTCAAACTCCAACATTTATATGAGCGGACTCTGGCTCCGACTTGCCAGTTAACTCATTGTTTTTGACCACCTCCAGTTTGCAAAATGAGAAAACCAATGTTAAGATGTAAAATTATTTCAAGAAAATCCAAGTGATGGTATCTGGAAGTAGTATTTTGGATGCTTGGGGTGATACTACCTTTGGGCTTACCAGTATTTCCTCTACCTCCCTCAGACTTCTCCAACCATATAGGCAAAGTGCCTCTTGGCACAGCCTGATGCTGAAGGGAAGCCAGCTGTGACACTGTGACATTGTACCCTCATTCCAAGATCCATTAGCCATGTAACCTTACAAATGGGTGATGCATACGTTTCCTCAGCAGACTGGATGTTTCTTTAATTAGGACTCACCCCTCCATTTGAGCGATGCTTTCTCAGTGTCTCCTTTCTGCAGGGGAATAGATGATCATCCCCTGCCCCCCACCCCACTGGCATTTGTAAGGTACCCTGCCTTCCCAAATGACCTTGAAGCCAATTTCTCCTGTTCATGGAGTTACAATAGAGATGACCCTGTCTTTTGAAGTCTATTTATTTATTTTGAGAGGAAGAAAGAGTGAGCAGGAAAAGGGGCAGAGATTGAGGGAGAGAGAGAGAATCCCAAGCAGACTCTGTCCTGTCAGTGCAGAGCCTGATGCGGGTCTTGAACTCAAGCACCAGGAGATCATGACCTGAGTCGAAACCAAGAGTCGGGCACTTAACCTACTGAGCCACCCAGGCACCCCTTAGACTTGCCTTTTAAAAGTAATGACAAAAATATCTTCAATGTCTCCATACCAGTTACATACACAATGCACATTTATGCATTAGTGTATGTGTATTCCTATTATTATTAGAAAAGTGTATTTCTGGGCAACTTGCTGTTCCTCTGTCAGTCTCCCACACACTTCTAGCAGAGTGACTGGCAGGCAGAATTGTGTGGTTAGTGAAAAATTTGCTGTGATTGGGTTGAGCCCAATGGAATGAACAGGACTTTGGGCCACAGCGTTTTTATTCTGAACTCAAACAGCCTCAGATGACTTCTCTTTCCTGTCAAGTTCTGGAGGTTTCGGTGCCTTTCTTGCTTTGGTTTTGTCCCAAATTGTGTACTTTTCTTACATACACTGAGTGCGAAGTAGCCTAGCGTATTTCTTTGGGGATCCAAGATTTTGTTAGGTGATACCAAGGGACGGATGTAATTCCGTGACATTTTTGTCAGGCTGTTAAAGAATAAATTTTCCTTGGCTGTGGCAGGATGTAATTACTTTTGTTTGTTTGCTTCTGACACAAGGGAAGAAAATTTGGGGTTGTTATTTCAACTATCCCAAGATACTTTTTTATTCTTTCTGGCAGGAAGGGGAAAATGCATTTTACTATTGAAGGAAGGACCAGCTTCTGATTTCCCCAACAGACTTGATGTACTTTTTAGCACATGAATATTTTTTTAAGTTGTTTATTTATTTGGGGGGCTGGGGGGTAAGGACGGGCAGAGAGAGAAAGGAAGAGAATCTCAAGCAGGATCCAGAGCTGTCAGCACAGAGCCCAACACAGGGCTCGATCTCCCGACCCTGTGATCTTGACCAGAGACAAAACCAAAAATCAGATGCTTAACTGACTGAGCTGCCCAGACACCCCAACACTGTGAGTGTTTTTGCAACATGAGTCATGTAGTGGTTTTGCCCTTCTCCCTGAAGGCGTCCTCGGTGCATCTCTTCATCATCTCGTCCTTCTTGGCATCTGAACTGTAGCATATTCTGTTAGGATCATTCAACAGCATGCATGGAATATTCCCAAAGGAAGCATAGAAATATATATGGCTTCTGCACTCAGAGTTCACCCTCTGATCGCAGTGTCCAGAGACGGGCATCTAAACCAATAATAACAATGATAAAAACACTCATATCTCCTTTTACCATAAAACAGTTCTTTATGCAGATGGTTCTAGAAAGCAAACTGTTTGAATAATACGTTTTGTAACCTATCTCCATGCTTTAAATTTTCAGATACTTAATTAAAAGGAACCAAAAAAAAAAATGTAACTGCCTGTTAGGTGTTGATTGAACTCTTTTATTTTTAAATAGCTAAGATTTGGGGCACCTGGGTGGCTCATTCAGTTAAGCATCTGACTTCATCTCAGGTCATGATCTCACAGTTCATGGGTTGGAGCTCCATATCGGGCTCTGTGCTGACAGCTCAGAGCCTGGAGCCTGCTTCGGATTCTTTGTCTCCCTCTCTCTCTGCCCCTCCCCCACTCATGCTCTATCTCTCTCTGTCTCTCAAAAATAAACATGAAAACATTTTTAAAAAGAAATAAAAATAAAATAGCTAAAGTTTTAGGGACCCCTGGGTGGTTCAGTAGTTTGAGGGTCGGTCATGAGCTCAGGTGATGATCCCAGGGTCATGAGATCAAGGCCGGTATCAGGCTCCTCACTGAGTGTGGACCTGTTTAAGAGTCTCTAAATAAATATTAATATTAATTATATAATATTTATTTTAGGTAACACCACATTTCTGAAATTTCTCTGAAGTGAAAGGTGAGAAGCAAGACTGTCACAGCTCAGGGGTTCAATTATGCTGGCTGCTTTCTTAGAACACGTCCTCAAAGTCCGGTTCTCTAAAGGCAGTCAGTTCCCCCAAAGAAAATGTCATCTCCATACCCGCCCTAGACTAACTCCTCTCACAGGGGTCCCACATTTCTTCACAAAGCCTTTGGGATCAGTCATTAGAGGAAAAACATGTTAACCAACATTGTTTTCAAGCAAAGGTTAGTTTGAAAGTTACTAGAAATGTAAACATGTCATAAATATTAAAATGAAAGTCCACTGGGTAAACAAGTATGGGCTCCACTATCAAAAAAGCAGAATAATCATAGCATTAATAAAAGAAGCCTATGAATTCTTACTACACACCGACACTGTGCATTTCCCCAAATATTATCTCCATCATTTCTCACAACGCATCTGAGAGGCACATGTTAACCCAATCTCACAGATGAGCCAACTGTGAGACACAGAATCCGAAGCAAGCTCCAGGCTCTGAGCTGTCAGCACAGAACCTGAGGCATGGCTTGAACCCACAAATCACGAGATCTTGACCTGAGCTGAAGTCAGACGCTTAACTGACCAAGCCCCCCAGGCGCTTCTATGTTTCCTATTCTTAAAATTCACTACAGAATTGTTGACCATTAAAAAGAAAAAACAAAAGATAAGAAACAACTAGCCAACCAACAACATCAAAAACACTATCCTCAAGGATCTCTGATATCTAAAAATAAAGGTGGCCAAAAAATAAATAAATAGGGGCTCCTGGGTGGCTCAGTCGGTTGAGCATCCGACTTCGGCTTAGGTCATGATCTCACAGTTCGTGGGTTCGAGCCCCATGTCGGGCTCTGTGCTGACAGCTCAGAGCCCGGAGCCTGTTTCAGATTCTGTATCTCCCTCTCCCTCTGACCCTCCCCTTCTCATGCTGTCTCTCTCTCTCAAAAATAAATAAAACATTAAAAAGAATTTTAAAATAAATGAAAATTAAAAAATAAAAAATAAAATAAAAGTTAGTAATTCTCTTCTCAGATACGACAAGTAAATAATGACATCCTAGTTTTATAGTTTATAGATCTACATACAGAATGGCTCATTTTTTATAGCTTTACCTCCTACTTTAGCTGGTTGGTCAGAGTAAATACAATACATTATCTGCAGAGTATATTCATGTGAATAATGCATTACAACCCTTAATGAAATACCACATGCTAAAATTAATTAAAAGGATACCTTTAGCACAAAACCTAAGGGGAAATGGGGAAACAGAGCACACTCCTATCTATTTTAGAGAGAAATTAGCTTTTTTCTTAAATATCACTCTGCAATACCTGTATTAACTCTCAAGATGTGTGTTTTACGCATTCAAATTAATAGTGTAAAAGGCAAATCTGTATTTGTGAATAGTCTGTGCCCAATGTCCAATGCACCATCATGTGATAAGTATCCCAGGACTAACTCACTCTCCTTTTTTGATTACATGGTTTTTTTTGACGTCTATTCACCTTTGAGAGAGAAAGAGAGCACAAGCTGCGGAGAGTCAGAAATAGAGGGAGACACCAAATCCGAAGCAGGCTCCAGGCTCTGAGCTGTCAGCACGGAGCCCAACGCCAGGCTCAAACCCATGAACTGTGAGATCATGACCTGAGCAGAAGTCAGACACTTAACCGACTGAGCCACCCAGGTGCCCCTCCCCACCCTCCTTTCTTTGTGTGTGTGGGGGGGGGGGCTGGAGTTTCCTGGAACATGTCCCCCAGAAGAGACTGAGCCTTCCCTCTCCACTTCCAAAGGGAACTTGATACTCTCCAGCCTCTGTTTCTCATCCCAGCATCCAGGGTCACTGTTTTATCTTACCCACCTCTTCCTTCTTTACTCATTACTGTCTTCTCTAGAACCCCTTTCTGCATTAACACATACCCCTACATCCATAATATATTTTCTGAACAATCCCTCCAACTTCCCTTCTGGCCTCAAGCTTGTGTCTCACCTAAAATCAGAGTCCCTGGCTGCTTACATACTTAGACATGGACTACACACCCAACAACGGACCTCATTAAATACTCAGCATGTAATTCCTGAAAAGGGGGAGAACTAGACCAAGTATCCACAATATATGCTGTTGATAAATAAAGACAGCATTTCCATTTTACACAAGACTTAGGGTGTCCATTTATGGTCCACAACACATGCTTGGTCCATAATGGGCACTCATTGGCTAAAGGAAGGAAGGAAGGAAGGAAGGAAGGAAGGAAGGAAGGAAGGAAGGAAGGAAGGAAGGAAGGAAATCCTTTCTGTTCACTACACAAAGTTGCATAGCTGAAGCTGCATCAATAGAGATAAAAAAGATGGATAGATAGGAAGAGTGAGAAAGTTACATAAAAAGGGATATGTGTGCAAAAAGTCCAGCTTACCACATAAAGGCTTTCGTGGAAATACAGCCCCAGATCATAAAAATGTCCGCCATGCCTCAATGGGTGTGTTCTGGTCTTCAGCTGCTCCGTTTGCTGCCATTGTAAGACACAGCCACCTGGACGACCAAGCAAGGACACCCTCAGGAGGTAGGAGCCTCGGGGAACCTTGTTCTTGAGGCCCCTTATGCATTTCATCTGTATTTGAAGACGCTGAGGCACCCGACCCTGGTCAACCTAAAGAAAAGGCAGGGCCCCTGAAATACGCAGAAACTGGATGAAACCACACAATTAGCCACAACGTGCTTCTCGTGCTTCTCGGGGGTGGGGGGAAATAGACAATTATTTTCGCTCGACCTGTAATTGTCAGGTATTAGCAATGATAACAGACCAGGACACGCGATATATAATTAGGAGGTCAAAAGGCAAGCTGCCAATTATGCCAGGGAAAGGTTAGCCAATTTTTAAGCATGGTATGTTAATGATCTGTGACATCAGAAACCATTCATCTATTATAATAAGATAGAATTAACAGAGTACCGACACTTCTACAAACCACACATCATGCCTCTTTAAGAAATCTGGGATGGGTGGATGTGGGCAGTGAGTTTCAAACTCAAGAGTTTTGAAGGTGAAAGCCCTTACCTCTGACACTAATCACAGACCATGGGGCGCTGTATGTAGGAGAAGAAATATATTTTCTCTACGCCTCAAGGTCTTCACTGGACTCAAACTTAAGTTTACATGAACAGATGAACAGGACAGAGAGGCACAGGGAGGCCCAATAATGAAAATGAGACGTGAAGAATACACCAAGGAAAGTGTTTTTTATGCATTTTAGGAAGAAAGATGATACATTTGTGAGAAATAGGAAAAAGAAAACAGGCGTTTGAGGGTTTCAATTAGGAAGTAATTCAAAGCAAGATTTGGGCTGAGATAGTAGATCAGTAAAACAAAGAACAAGCTTTCTACAGCTTTCTTCGCTTTAAAGTTCTAGTCTCTGGCAATAAGGATGTCTTTTCACTTCTTAGTAAGGGAAGGTTACCTTTCATTTGGGATATTTATTTCCTGTTTTCAGGCGGATGGAGGAGGAGCTGAGTGGTCTAGTGCTGGCTGTCAAGTACCTTCAATTCAAAATAGTCAGGGTGCCATTGTGGTACCTTCTGGGCAGTCTGCCCTTGGTCCCTTGTACCACCTTGATGAGTCCAAAATAGGTCAGACAAACCTTTCACCTGACAGATACTTTTATCCAGTTTAAACATGAGGTCAACTTGCCCCATAGGCTTCCAATGAAAGGAAACACACACACACACACACACACACACACACACACACACACAAAACTGAAGGAGGGAGTAACATTTGTGAGTGCTTTAACCTAAAATGAAGCATAAATTGTATGCAACTAAAGAAGAGGATTCTAGAATATTTTATGCGACATTTGACTTTCATTGCTTACCTGCCTTCCGCTCACAGAAAGAGGCCATTTTCATTTTTAGTAAGTGCTGGAAACTTTATCCAAATGGATGAGATTTTTAATGGACTTGTTGCAGATTAAACAAAAATTAAACTGGGATTATTAATAACTCAAATGTCATCAAGTCATGTTTTCTCTACTCACAAGTCCCAAATAGTCTTTGAAATAATTTGACCTGGAAGAATTCTCTATTACATTGTGCTTTAAGCAAAAAATAATGTCGTTCTTGGAATCAGGGTACCTTCTTGGCTGCCGGAGTTACTAGCACTACCCATTAATCTGCAGCCAACGGTTAAGTACTTTTTAATCCTGCTTAGACTTTATTTGGTGAGCGATAATATATATTTCCATATAGACAGTACGCTTCTGGAATCAAATCACAGTGAAACAAACAGTGAAAGTTGCTAAACTTCCTTTGTTTTTTTCACAGAAGTCACACTTAAAAACCAATCAGACTAACAACGATTTTTGGCTTAATTAGAAAATCTTAATTAACAAGAAAGACTTAACCTTAATATTTCTGTTTCCAAAAATATTTTTTAAAAATTAACGCCATGTGGATAAATAAGACAATCTCTTTAAACCTCAAGGCAGGATTACTGATGCAGGCAGACCGAGTTATTAAACACATTCTAAATTAAACGCCTCTATGAATTTTATACTGAAATATATTGTGATAGTTTTGCATGCCAAATGTGACATTTTGTATTTTAGCTTCATCTACTGTAGTAATTTTGGAAATGTCATACAAACAAAGATTTTGTCATTTACCAATGGAATTACTATGCATGGCCGCTTAGCCATCTCCTCGCCGGCTTTTGTGGCTGCTTCAAGTCAGCAAGCCATAAAAAATCTTTATCTCTCTGAAACACAGCAATTTGGAAGATAATCGAATGGTGACTAGGGGGCAGAAATGCCAGTCTGAGGAATTATACCACAATCTCTCTTGCATTTACAACCTTCCTCAAAGCGAGTGTCAGATGAGTCTGGGAAGAAGACAGAAGATCCATCAAATCTCAAACCTGTCTCATTTGCATGGAGCCAACCCTAGCTTCATTGTCTAGTGGGAACCCCGCTTCGCACTGTGAACACCGCTTTGGGGAATTCCAAACGCTTTACAATGGAGAATTTGAGCCCTTCTGTTTTAGCATCGTACTCTCCTCAAAAATATGTACGAAGACCCGCGAAAATTTGTTCCTCTAAAGGGATCCCAACAGGAAGAAAAGCAAAACAGGACAGTGAGTCGAGAATCGCTCATCTCATCATTTACATTTTGCATCAGAGAAAAAGTTAATCGAGAGCCACACCTGCGAGCCAAGTCCTGAGGCCAAGTCCTTTGATTCGTGAGTTGCGTCTGGGAGAGTACAGAGCCTGGCTGGCCTGCGTCCCTTACAAACATCTCGGTCTGCAATTAATGGCTGACCTGGCACCCTGCAGCAGGTGGAAAGAGAAGGGAGATGGGGGAGATTAAAGAAACAGAAATTGACAACGGAGATAACGGAAATGTTTGCCTTTGGAACCACAACACAATTTGATGTTGTCCTTAAACACTGTGTCATATTGACTGAGAATTAGATAAATACCACACAACTACTGTTGATTAAAGTCGGGGAGATGAGTTGCTTTTGAAATGTGATTTCTGTGGGGCGCCTGGGTGGCTCAGTCAGTTAAGCGTCCAACTTTGGCTCAGATCATGATCTCAAGGTTCATGGGTTCGAGCCCCGCATCGGGTTCTGTGTTGACAGCTCAGAGCCTGGAGCCTGCTTCAGATTCTGTGTCTCCCTCTCTCCCTGACCCTCCTCTGCTCACATTGTCTCTCAGAAATAAATAAAACATTTTAAAATTTTTAAAAAGAAAGAAATGTGATCTCTGCAAAATACAAGACTCCATTATCATCAATATCGATCTCCCAATAATTAAAATGCAGCTCATTTCAGAAATTACCAGAAGATCAAATATTTGGTAATATTTTTCGCCACTTCATTTTCATTCCCCTACCCCTTCAGTCTTATAAATTGATGAAGAAACTTGGGAATTGAGGAATCATTTAAATAGATGAAGAGCGGAGATGACATAAACTTTTTCTTTTTTAGTGCAATGGCTAGAAAGCAAGATATATTTCTACCTTCAAAATGTTCCCCAGTCTTTTTGTTTCTCCTGTTAGCATTTACTGAGTTTATTTGAGGTTCTTTTTTATGGCTCGCTTATTTATTTGTTTATTTACTTACTTATTTTATTTTATTTTATTTTAAGCATCTAGCAACACTTGCCTGCTTTCCCAAATTCATTTGAATTAAGAAGGATCTTGTATTTCACTTCTCCTGACTTAAGCTTAATTCCATCAGCAGGGCCATCTGTAACAATGACTGTACCCCCACCAGAGGAATGGCCTTTTTGGATCTCACAGCTGATTTAGTTTCTTGTGATAGAAATGATTTCCCTTAATTTGGTTAGAGCTCCATTGACACAAGGGTTCATTAGGACACCATTTGCTGGCAATTCAATTTCAAATTAAATACACTTTGTTGTAAATTTTATTACTTTTAAACTACTGTATCTATTGTCTTTAATGGCCCTATTATACAGTTATGAAGGTAAACAGATTTCATTAGTAAACATAAAACATGATGTGTTAACCACGGCGAGATGGCTTCCTCAGTTTCTTTCTTTGTTCTCTTGATAAACATTGTAAGGCACCCATGAAATACCCGAAAAACTTAATCTAAATAATTAGATGCTGAATTCATGATTATCATCCTAAAAGGGGTGGTCTTTAGGGGGGATGGTCTGTAGTTGCCATCCTAGTTCTTTGTAATTAAAGGTTTTCTAAAAATACCTTCCTTAGTTAAAAAGAAACACAATGCACATCAAATGTTAATATACAACTGTAACACGATATCAGACACCTAGAGATGAATTGAGAGATTTGTGTCTTCTTGGAGTGAGTAGTCAGACCCTAGACCAGGAGTTAGACCAGACATGAGCTCATTTTGAATTAAGTCCTGTGGCATATTATTATTACTCTTCATTTCCCCTCAGATACAACACTTATTAATTTTGTGATTATAGAAATATGTTTATGTTTGCACATTATGCAAAATTTAATTGTCTGAAAAGACCCCCAAAGTCATCCATTAGTTCACAACCCTGAGATAAACACTGATAAAATATTGAGGTCCGTTCCACATAGCTAGGTAGCGAAATATACTTTTTTTCCCTTACAAAATAAGAAGGATGATGTAAATATTATTTTGTAACCCATATTTACCACTTTGTACATTATAGGCATTTTCCATGAGATTCAATTTTATTCCCCACAGCATAATCTCTTATTGTTGGATATTTAGATCAGTTCCAATTTTTCACTCTCATAAGCTAGTCTATAATGAACTCTCTTGCATATCATGCCTTGTAGACATCCCTGGCCACTTTCCTGGTCTGAAGTCCTAACTCTAGAGAAGTCGGGGACTGGGAAGGTATTTTCCTACACCTCAGTGATACCACCTTGAGCGCTGAATGACACCTCAGCAAAACACAATCCTGCTGCATGTTGTATTCCCTGAGGTAACAAATTGTCTTCACAGAGAGACAGGCCCCGCTCCAGTCAATACCTTATCTTCTCTGCTAGTCAGATTAGAAATTAAGTAAAATTACAATGAACAACAGGATTCCTCAACCTCTGCACTACTGACACTTTGAATGCCATAACCAGTTGTGATGGAGGCTGGCCTGTGCATTGTAGAATGTTTAGCACAATCCCTGGCCCAAATCCACTAGAGGCCATTAACAGACCCTTCTCTAGTCCCAGTTGTGATAATAAAAAAATGTCTCCAGTCATTGCCAACTGTCCCCTGAAGGCAAAATTGATCCCTGCTGAGAACCACTGATATCCAGTATTAACTAATACTTACGGGACGCCTAGCATGTTCAGGGTCCCCTTTTGAAAACATTAGATCTATTATTCTATTTAACCCTTCAGATAATCCGACAAGGTGTTATTATGTCTACTTCACTGGTGGACTGATGCTGGGGAATGCTGAGTAGCTTATTTGAGGTCACATGGTCATAAGGGGTAAAGCCCAAAATTCAAAGGGAGACCCTCTACCTTGAGAGTCCCTCTGAGCCCATAGCCACTACTATTACACTTGCTCTCCCGGCAGGGAGGAACAGCAACCACCACAGCCTGACCTTGGAAGTTCCTATATGGGACCAAGAATTGAGATACTTCTCGAGAGGTAAATAAGATATGGCTCCAAGCTCTACCTCCTTTACTATAATGGCCCCGTCCCCAACACTCCTATATGGATGAAAGAGCACAGATAAATTTCAGCAGGAAGGGGGGTCATGGCTCGCACAAACCTGAACTTGAGGGTGAATCAAACTAGGGGCGACTGCTACCTATAATTGCCCCATATTTAATCTATAGTGAAACAAACAAAATAAAGTTAGATGCATTGAACCCACCATGAAGGAACATACTTGCCAAATGTTTTGCCAGTGTTTAAACGTGACATTGGAATGTACTGACTGAGTCCTTCCACTTCGCATTTCAAATCCTGCATGGAAGAAGAAAGAAATGAAATAAAATGGATTAAAAAGACACTTGAAGCATTATATGTAAAAACTGGTTTTTCTAAGACCTCTATGCTACTATGAAGGCTGAGGTTCAAAGAGACAAATGAGAACATGGGAGTTATACCTTTAACAGCTGCCTTTTATAGATTATGACTTTCCTCACTCTGCTTAGTTACTTTTGGCCAGGAAGTGAATTATAAAAACATTTTAAAAAGAGGATAAATATTTGATGAATTCAAACCCAGCTTTCTTTTTTTAATGTTTATTCATTTTTGAGAGAAAGAGAAGAGACACAGAGCAAGCAGGGGAGGGGCAGAGAGAGAGAGAGAGAGAGAGAGAGACATGGAATGTGAAACAACTCCAGGTTCTGAGCCATTAGCACAGAGCCCGATGCAGGAACCGAATCATAAACCGAGAGATCATGAACTGAGCTGAAGTCAGACACTTGACCAACTGAGCCACACAGGCATCCTACAAACCCAGCTAACTTGTCCCCACTTCTCTCTCTCTCTCTCTCTCACACACACACACACACACACACACCACAATGGTATAGTTTATCAAAATGTAAATGGACATATGGCTGAATGTGCATGATGCTAGAGATGTTAATAATAATTGCAATTGTGTAATTTATCATTCAATCCAGAACATTTGGGTAGTCAATGAGAAAACAATTATCCTAGGACAACAGGCATAACCCAGGACTACCCCATGCAAACATAACACATAGCAACCCTCCTAATAATACTGATCCAGATGTTTTGAAAGGGAAAAATATCAACATATTTAGTGAAAGTGAATGATGAGGGAATGAAAGAGAGTGAAAGACCTCAAGATGGAAGTCGCAGTCCTTTATAACCTAACCTTGGAAATGACGTAACAACACTCCTGCTACACCCTACTGGCCACACAGATGAACCCTGGTACAGTGTGGGATGGAACTATGAAAAGGTGCTCATACGAGGCCAGGATCCGGAATCCATAGCAATGATGAAATCCAAACAAACAAATGTTGGCAGTTCCTCGATTAAGTCTCAAGGTTGGAATGCCTCTCTCTGGCTCTCAGCTCTATCTTCTAGATGCCTGCTTCCACTCTTTGGATCTTCCTTCTTGTTTTTTTGTTTTGTTTGGTTTTGGTTTTTTTGTTTTTTGGGGTTTTTTTAATGAAAAGTAGCCCATGTTTACAGCTACATAGTGTTCTCAGCCTGTTTCCCGGCAGTAGAATTTGAAAGCCAAAGACATTTTTATTTTGTTCTCTCTCTGTCTCTTTCTTTTTTAAAATTGTTTATTTATTTGGGGGGGAGGGCAAGCTGGAGAGGGACAGAGGAAGAGGAACAGAAGATCCAAAGCGGGCTCTGAATGGATAGCAGAGAGCCCGACGCGGGGCTCGAACCCATGAACCATGAGATGAAGTCAGATGCTTAACCCACTGAGCCACCCAGGCGCCCCTCTCTCTGTCTCTTTCAATCCAAGCAGGTGCTTTTTCTGCTTATCTAACTCCATTTAAAACAGTGTAGGTCTTTGGTTAATCAGTGCAGTCCACTTCGTTAGACAAAAACCAAACCCCACAAATCTCTTCAAGAGAAAACCTTCTCTACCACATGATTCCACCTGAAGGATGCCATGTCATATACTGTGCTTGGTTCAGACAAATAAATTCCTTAATACAGCTCTGCCAAGAGACCATGTAAAATAGGTATGTGAGATCAAATAAAACAGTCTGATTCCAGTAAGTAAACCTTCTCAGGTTTATCACATATTTATTAGAATGAGTTTCGTAACAGCAATGCTAATGTACATGTATTGAGCATTGATACCGTCCTAGGCGCTATACTTCCTTCAGCCTCTGAATCTGTGGATATTTATTATGGTTTTACTTAATGCCAGACACCGTGCTAGAGGCCAGAAATACAGTGGTATACAAATATATACCTTATACCTGACATTATAAAGCCATCTTTCTACTGGACATGATAAATAAAACAAGCTCCAGAAATGAACAAAACAATGGCAAGTATGGTAAGAATGACTACTGCAGAGAAGAGCCCAAAGAAGAGTACAGAGAAGAATATTTAGGGACAAGGTTGTGGGGGGAGGTTAAGAAAGATGGTGACTTTTTAAAAAAATGAGACCTAGTTAAAAAAAAATAGTTTAGCCATGCAAAGAGCAAAAGAAATTAAGGCAGAAAGAACAGCATGTACAAAGGTCCTGAGGCAGGACATAATTTTATAAATAAGAAAAGGAAAGGGAAGGGAAAAGAGGAGGGGAGGGGAGGGAAGGGGAAGGAAGGGAAGGGAAGGGAAGGGAAGGGAAGGGAAGGGAAGGGAAGGGAAGATCAGTATGGCTGTGACCTAAGTATAGCCCTAGAGAAGAATATGGGGAAATGGGCTGGAAATATAAACAGGAGCCAGACCCTGTTGGACATGCAGGTGAAGTTAACAAATCAACATATTATCTATAACTAGAAAGCCAGTAAAAGGTTTAAGAAATAAGTGATAATCATCTGACCTATGTATAACCAGTGATATAAAATTTTGAAAGTATTAAATTCAGCAAAATTCAGCTATGATAAAATTCAGCTCCAGATAGTTGGAGAGGGGAAATGTCTTCTCAAGATGGAGAACATTAAAAAGAAGTAACAAACAGAAAGCAAGAGGCAGTGGGGAATCTTCACCATTTTGCTCCAAGTGGAGTGTGAACTGAAGAAGGAGGTAAAAGTAAGGGAATCAAGCAGCCAAATGTATACATATGGTGGCTTCCTCCCACCCCATCCCTTCCTCTCCAAGGCAGAAGTCCTGCAGGAATTGCAGAAGTGTGAGACAAGCTTAGGAGAAACCAAGGAACAGAATTTAATTTCAGTTAAAATTCTGAGGAGAGACATGTACCGCTTATACCAACATGGCGGGTGTGATGTTAGTTAACCAGTTAACCACATTAAGCAAAATGGGAGCTTTACTGTGGTTACCCACCAAGAAAGCCCAAGTTTAGGGTCTATATCAGAGAGGGTCCCAGTAGAAATATATGCATTCTCGGGGCGCCTGGGTGGCTTAGTTGGTTGAGCGTCCGACTTTCGCTTAGGTCATGATCTCGCGGTTTGTGGGTTCGAGCCCCGCGTCGGGCTCTGTGCTGACTGCCAGCTCAGAGCCTGGAGCCTGTTTCAGTCTGTGACTCCTTCTCTCTCTGACCCTCCTCTGCTCACTGTCTCTCTCTCTCTCTCCTAGAAATAAATAAAACATTTTAAAAAAATTTTTTAAGAAAGAAATATATGCATTCTCAAAATGAGCTGACTGTAGGAAGAAGATGTGTGTACAAATGTATTATTGCAGAGCTGTGGATTTAGGAGCAGGCTGTTTCTACTGTTAGGCTTGAAGGGATGAGGAGACAGAATAATCCCCAGACACTGGAAGAAGGGTCATATAAAGTCATCTATCTTGAGGAGAACATGACCCTGGATGGAGAAACAGAGCCAGCTCAATGCAACCTTAACCTCACAAGAAGGAAGGAACTATTATTTGACTTCTCTCTTCTCTCCTTCTTAACTCTTAACAAGACTCCCCACTGATGGAAAGCAACCAGATGCATAGGGTCCAGGAGCATTACAGATATGCCCTCAGTTTAGCCTTGTGTGACCGAGAGCATGGTGGATTCAGACTAGCAAGGTTACCAAAGGAGCAAATGGTGCGTGTAGAGCAAGCTGTACGGTGAATCACTTGACTCAACTCTGAAGTCTTACAGGTGAACTGAATGAGGGAGATAAGGGGAAATAAAAAACCAAAAATGAATTTGAAATCTCTGGCCTAAGTAAATTAGTGGTCTGGGTGCCATCCGCTGAGAAAGGAAAGATGGCAGGTAATGCAAACACAGTTTTGAGGAACAAAATATGAGCTTCCAGGTTGCACATGTTAAATTTGCAATGATTTTGTGATACGCATGTGGCAATGGTATATAGGAGTGAACTATGTGAGTCTAACAGTAACAGGAAATCAGAGCTTCTGGTTATCACCAGCAACATAATGGAATTTAGGTAATGGGAGCTAATGAAGCCACCTTGAGAGACACTTCTAAGCACTTTAGTATGCATTATGTCATTTGATTCTTACAACAGCCCTATAATGCATATGCTCTGAGTGTCACACTTATTTTGCAGATGGGTAAATTGAGGCTTAGAGAGCTTAAGATTACAGTACATGATGGAGACTGGAGTTGGCTCTCTGTGGTTCCAAAACTCAGTCTTTTATATTTTTTAAAGTTTATTTATTTTTGAGAGAGAGAGACAGAGTGCAAGTAGGGGAGGGGCAGAGAGAGGGAGACACAGAATCCAAAACAGGTTCCAGGCTTCACACTGACAGCACAGAGCCCAACATGGGGCTCCAGCCCTTGAACCATAAGATCATGACCTGAGCCCAATCAGTCGCTGAACATACTGAGCCACCCAGGCGCCCCACCAAAGCTCCATCTTAATCCATGTAATTGGCACTTCACAGTGTCACATTGCCTTTTTAGAGGTTACGTGCCCAGGGTGACAGGTTTTACACTCACCTGACTCCATGTAGATTCTATTATTAGCCCATAATCAACATCCTTGTGAAAACAATTAAGGCTTGCATTGATGGATGTATACGGTCTTTGGGAATGAATGCAGGGAGCTGAACAGTAAAACTTTATTAAAACATATGAAATTTTCCTTTGCACCAACCATTTTCCAAAAAAAAATCAAACAGGGCAAGCGTGGTTTGCAAAGACAATGAATTCCCTCACGGAGCTTTCAAGTACTCTGGAAGCACAGACTATTTATTAACAGTGAGCTAATTAAAATGTATATGAAAAGAATTCTTGTTTGTATAGAATTTCTTTCAAATTATTTTGCAACCCAGATCGTCCGCCATATCCTATCAGTCTGAACAAGTGATGACTTGTTATAATTGAGGATGACGCAGGGAGAAATTTGGTAAAAATTATTTGTAACTATTGTTGCTAA